ATACTACTAGTATTTGCATATATATAAATATATTTAAAAAGTAATATATTGATTTTATCTGGGTAGTCACGGCACTTTAGTAGGTACAGGCAGGTTTAGTAGAACGAGTAAGAGCTCCTCTGACCCAGGCCTAAATGCGAAAAGGAAAGGCGAAAAATCTTACATGAGGTATCTGCAGGAAGTTCTTTATTTGAATATTTTGAGAGATTATAAAAAAGAATATTGTTATTTTTAAACAATTTGAAGAATAAAAAAGGCGGGTTCAGTGTTTCATCGTCATCCACTAGTCAACCACATATTCTGTGTCTGTGGTGTGATCTATAAATAATTTCAACTTGCTATTTGTTCGCGCCACGACAGCGCTGGCTCGGCTTACAGCTGTATCAACTATATTTTGTAAATTACGCACATACATGTAGTATTGTTTTTATTTAAAAAATAAGCAAAGTCTTACTTGTGTGGTGAGTACACTTACTACGTCACGGAAAAATCTACAAACGACACATACAGGGCTGGCTATTTCAATTTCTGGTTGATGTCCTTGAGCTATGAAAGAATCTGTATAAATAAATAACCCTGGACAATTAACACAGCGCCATCTAGACCCACGGTAAGCAGAGCTTGTGTTATGGGTTCTAGACGACGATGTAATACTTCGTTTTTTTTGTAAATATATATATATTGGGGGTTTTTTCTATGTATATACATAGAAAAAACCCAGACCAACACAAACAATCACGACCTATGTTTGCACCTTGCGAGAAATCGAACCCGCGACAATCGGAAGTAAAGCGGTAAACCACTTGATCACTGAGGCTGTGTATACATATGTAGAGATACGTATAATGTTATATAAATGGGTCATTTACCATTAGATGATGTTATTGAAGAGCTCCCGATATTTCGACGCTATTATCAACTGGTCACGGGTCGATTGGAGATGGCGGAGATGCGAACAATTATTTTGAGCAGATCTCTATCTGTCTATTGTCTATATAATCTGTCTATTCCCTTTCTTAACCTTTTTGTATGTAACACCGTCGCTACTACTACTGGAAAACACTTGATAGTCACGACATAACACTCACTGTATCATTTCGACATATCTGACTTTACAACACGTAAAAAAAGTTTAAAATGGTGTTTATGAATGAATCTTTAGCGTCTATATTGTTACCGCTATTATTTATATTTATGTTGTGTTCGTGTAGAAGCAGTATCAGGAAGATGGAGGTGAAGAGAAACCAGTCGTGATTATTTACATATTTATAATATAGAAGTATTTACAATTAGTATATGTACAAGAAAGTGATTCGGTCTCGAATGACAGGCCTGTTATTTTATTCTTCTGTCGTAACTAGGCAACGGTGTTGCCGCGCGATTATAATTAATTCGCCACACCACCCCCCCGCGGAGAGAAAAAGGTGAAAGAAAAAGAAAAAACACTATTAATCTAAAATATCATCAAATAAAACTCTCCGTTCTGACCTGGTAACCGATGATTTTGCGTTGAGGCAGGTTGATTATATGAAGTGGTGGCGAATTGAGATGAATATAAATGATGAAGAAGTGAAAGGAATAGAGGAAGGGTGGATGGTAGTGAGGGCTCATGTAAGTAATGAGCAGGACTCAAGCATCCCGGCTTATCCTCATTCTGTTCTTCTTCTAGATGAAGTGGAAGGAACAAAAGATGACACTGTGGACCGTAGTGAGGGCTTATGTAGGAGATAAGCAGGACTCACAATATCCCGGCTGATCATCTGTTCCGTTCCATTCCAGATAAAATGGAAGGAAATAGAAGTGAAAGTGTGGATCGTAGTGAGGGCTCATGTAGGAGATGAGCAGGACTCACAGCATCCCGGCTGATCACTGTTCTTTTCCCACACGATTAATAGCTTGGTGGTAGATGACTGATAATGAATTAAATGTGATAGACTCAGCCATGTTATCTCAACCTGTGTGAACTGTAATGCCGTACAGGTCAGGAGGGAGGTAATTAAAAAAATAAAATATTTAGGTACCTCCGGGGCAGATGATGTGGTTACGTTGAATGTGCCGAATTGATCATTGCGAGACGAAAAATAAATCAAAATTTACAAATAGAAAAATATACAAATTTACACAATGAGTAACTGAAAATGTTGTCCATCCGGGAATCGAAGTCCAACTCGTAGTGTATTGACTGCGTCGTACTGGCCCATGTCGTAGTTTCTCAATAAGCAACCGCAGATACGACGGGTAATACGAGAATGGTCAGTCAATAGTGCCGGTGCTATCATCGGTGATGAAGTTGAAGCGATGATGTATGTTCTCCGGTATGGATATGAAGGCGGAAAAAGGACATCTGGACTGGAATAGGTAGGTACTTCACCATGGCTGCAGTGCTGGAACGTCGGGGTCACCAATTTAGCGTCTATATTGTTACCGCTATTATTTATGTTTATGTGTGTTCTTGTAGCAGCAGCGGGAAAGAAGGAGGTGAAATGATGAGTCCAGATTGTTGTTATGTACATATTTATAATTACGAAATATTTACAATAAATATATAGGTATGTACAAGAAAGTGATTCGGTCTCGAATGACAGGCCTGTTATTTTATTCTTCTGTCGTAACTAGGCAACGGTGTTGCCGCGCGATTATAATTAATTCGCCACAAATCTGTGTAAGTAGATCTTCGTATAATAATGAAAAATATTTGTTTTTTTTTAATTATTCCCAAAATGTTACATGAAAAGAAGCTGTTTATTAATATTAGGTTACTAGTATTAAGCTAGTCGTTGTTCTTCTATTCTTAAGATTAACTGTTATTAATAAATCAAAATTTTTGAGTATATTTTTTAAATTTAGCAATTAAATATGAAACCAGTTGAATTATTAGGTATGCAAGTAAGCGTACACCAAAAATTTAATATGTAACCTTGTATTTATTATTATTAATAATGTGTGGAGAAATAAATCGTTATTATATAATTTTCAGAATCGTTCAAAATTTTAGTACGATTGTGAACCCTACTGAAATAAACACAAAAGACTCGCAGCCAATTGTATAAATATTTCCATTGATCCGTTTAAATCGTTATATTGTGCCTACACTGTTATACCTGCATGATAAAGATAAAATTATAATATAGCTAAATATATTAAAATTATAGAAATCAATTGGTATTTGGTATTTGCGTTTATTTATAATTATAATGGCAATATATCACACGATTTATAATACATATTTATAATTTTAACTTTTAGTAAATCTTATTACGTTATTAATAAGACATGATAATGAGACTATTGCTGTCGAGTGGTGCTGTAATCATTATAGACCCAATGGGTTGTAGGTAGTAAGTTCGAATTTTGACGCCACTGAAATATCTTTTTTTTAAAAAATTCTAACTCACACACCTGTGATGGAAACACACACATAAGAAATTGTTTTGAACGATAAGGGCGCCGTTTGTTTGCATATTTTTATATTGTTCCTTTTTGTAATTATTTGTTTTTATTATTTTATAATAAAAACAAATATAATTATATATATAATTTATAACGCCATTTTTTATATATCTTGTTAATAAATTTGCATACATGACTACTGTGTCCATAAAAACAGTAGCATATGCAGATTGCACCCGAGCGAGACAACACGAACAACGGCCACGTGTCGTCATCTCACGAACAGAACCCGGAAACAAAAAAATCTACTGACAAAAAGGAGAGTGCCCTAAAAGTGTTTTCTACTGAACTAAAATAATTTATTGCTCAACCCTGCAATTGGCGATTGTTTTGCGACAGGCAAATGTGGGTCGCTCGGACCGAATTCGCAATGTTTTCTAAGGATTGTAAACCATTGTCCGTGACAGTGTACGTTTTACAATACTCACAGGTTGTTTGAAAATATTTTTACACAGTTTTTTTTATTTGTTACTTAAAATATTAAACAACTATATAACAATTATATATTTAATTCTTTGTTAAGTTTATTGACTCATAGCTTCCAAAGGTCTAGGTTTTTTCACAGTTATCTATAATAATAATAATAATCTTATTTACTGCTCACAAGGAACAATGTTAAAAAAAACAAAATTATATATATTCCTTATGAGAGTCTGGAATCTGAATTAACAATATCCAGTTTCAAGCAACTAAGTATATATGTACCAGTTACATATTTAATTCTTTACTAAGTGTTTTCACTCAAAGCTTCCAAAGTTATAGGTTTTTTTCAGTATTTCTGAAAAATGTTTATTTCATGAAATCTAATTTTTCCAGCTTCTTCTTTGATGATATCTTACACTTGTAAAATTTGATATCTGATTTGAGTCCACTCTCTTCTTCCAGCACAAATAGTAGAAAAGATAAACCATATTTAATAAACTTCCTTGTGCTCAAGGTAGTTGTTGAATACCGCAATGTTTTGAAAAATTGAATTATAATAAAACTTACAGAAACATTGCGAGATGAAAATAAAAATAAAAAAAGCGTTGCCAAAATAGTACCTATTATTACTAGCTGGATTAAAGGATAGGATTGAAAAATAACGATAAGTAACTAGTGTACATAACATAGTCAATAACTAATATTTATTAGTTATTAACTATTAATTATATAATATAGAATTATTAAACGTTATAATGAAGTAAATAAAATCTAATTAATAAAAATAAATATATTAGAAAGGTTGGTACTTGGTACTCCTAAGTAACCTGGTAATAATATGATCGTTATTAATATGTCCTCAAGATATAGTATTTTAAATAAAACGTGCTATGTAGCTTGTATCACTTTTTGTAATTGAGATATTGTACCTACCTACATTAATACACTTTATTAATCAACAAAGTATAAAAGTAAGTACCCACATCTATATATGACATACCTCCCCTCTAAGATAGTTTAATCACTTTGTAATTAAGTATAACATAATTAAACATATTAATATTAAGAATAAACAATATCTACCAATAGTATAACTGAAACAATGATCACTTATATATAAAACACATTTAGGATAAATACATATTGTCTATATGATCTTGTGGCCTTTGATATGGAGTTCTGGAATGTACATTTAACGTAGTTCTAATTTTCCCTGGAACTGGCAATGTTGATTCCGAAGAAGGAGGGATACCCAAAATCTCAGCCCATTTCTCGGCATCTGGTATTTCAATAATTGTCTCTGACTCTTGACTCCTATTTTCCTGTTGCCCATGTTGGTAATTCGTACCACTACTGCCTGTGCTATTAGAGTCTTTATTTGCCTCTGACGTTATATCAGTAATCCCTTCTTCCCCTTTCTCTAGCCTTGGTTTATATTTAATCAACTGATCAATATGCCGATTAACTGCTACACCGTCCTCTGTTTCGATTTTGTAATTGGAAGGCCCACTTTTCTGCAAGACTTTGCCTGGTAACCATTTAGGGCCCTGATTGCTATAATTTCTGAACATTACATTTTGTCCCACAGTAGTTTCTCTGCCTGCTATCTGTTTATTGTTGTCAATTTGTATTTCTGTTCTTTTATGTTTCAAATTATCTGGATGTATAGTATCTAACAATGTGCGCAACTGTCTATTCATTAATAGTTCTGCGGGGGTTTTATTGGTTCCTGTACATGGAGTAACCCGCAAACCTAACAATAAATTCGGAATTTTGATATCCCAAGATAAATCATTCATTTTCTTTAGTTTATCTTTGACTGTCTGTACCATCCGTTCTGCTAATCCGTTGGTCGCCGGATGGTAAGGTGCTGTAGTTACCTGACGAATTTTATTGGCCTGCAAAAAATGCTTCATATCTCCTGATACAAACGATGTACCATTATCCGATACTAAAACTTCACATAGACCATGAGTTGCAAAGGTCGTTCTCAGCAATCGTATTACCGTGGCTGTTGTTGTATTATTTACCATGAATACTTCAGGCCATCGGGAATATGCGTCGACTATAATTAAAAAGTATTTGTTGTGATACGGTCCAGCGAAATCGATGTGGATTCTTGACCAAGGTCTCGAAGGTGTAATCCATTCATGTGTAGTCTTAGGAGGCATATGTCGATTTTCCAAGCACCTAACACAACCACCAACTAGAAGTTCTATGTCATCATTTAGTCCAGGCCACCAAACGTAGCTTCTAGCCAGTGCTTTCGTTTGAACTATACCTGTATGTGTTTTATGTAGTATTTGGAGCGTTGCTCGACGAAGAGTGTGAGGTACTACGACGCGGCATCCCAGAAGTATGCAATTTTCTTGCAGTGACAGTTCTGTGCGATGTAACCAGAATGGTCGTAAATCAGCGTCGGTTTCTTTTGCAGGCCATCCCCTTTGTATGTAATAAATAACTTTAGATAAGATTTTATCCCGATTTGTCTCTCTAGCTATATCTTCTGCATCAAATGGAAAATCTTCTGGAGCTTCAGCCATTAACAAAACCTCACCAATATGTGTTTGAGGTTCACTTTGTACTGGTTGTGGCCAACGACTTAAATGGTCAGCATTACCTATCTCTGGACCAGGCTTATATTTTATCTCATAGTTATGAGATGTCAAGGCTATGGCAATTCTCGTCAACCGTGGTGAAATCATATTAGGCATTGGCTTCTTCGGATCAAATATACCAAGCAATGGTTTGTGGTCTGTTATTATACAGAATTGTCTTCCTGTGAGATAGTTATGAAACTTTTTTATGCCAAACATAATTGAAGCGGCTTCTTTGTCAAGCTGTGAATAACGCCGTTCATGAGGATGTAAGGTTCTAGATGCCATAGCTATAGGAAATTCGTTATTATCTGTTACATGTGACAATACAGCTCCTACACCATATTCTGAACTATCACAAGTAAGTGTTATAGGTTTAGCTACGTCATAATGAACTAACGTTAAATCAAATGTCAATAATCGCTTTGCCGTCTCAAATGAATTTTGTTCCCGTTCAGTCCAATGCCATTCTTGCCGGGTATCCAGCAAACGATGTAAAGGCTCCAATAAAGTGGCTTTATGAGGTATGAACCTCTCATAAAAATTATAAAGACCAAGAAAAGCTTGTAGTTCTCGTTTGTTTTTAGGTTCAGGAGTATTTGCAATAGATTCAACCTTACTTGGTGCAGGATGGATGCCCTTCCCATCAATTACAAAGCCTAGAAACTCCACTTTTTCTTGACCGAATTTGCATTTGTTTTTATTTAGACGTAGTCCTGCACGTTCAATTCTTCCTAGTACTTCGTTAAGTCGTTCTTGCATTTCCAGCAAAGTATGACCCCCGATTATTATGTCATCAATTAGAACAGCGATACCTGCGATACCACCCAGTAAAGATGTCATCAAACGTTGAAAAATTCCGGGGCATGCTTTAACCCCGAAGGCCAGGCGATGTACAGTGTAAAGGCCCTTGCAAGTATTCAAAGTAAGGAGTTTTGAAGTCTTCTCATCTACCATAACCTGGGTATACGCCCGATCTAAATCCAAGGTGGTGAAAAATTTACAACCAGCAACTGCAGCAAACACTTCATTCGCTGTAGGCATAGGATAGGTATCAGATTCAGTTGCCTCATTTACGGTGCTGCGATAATCTCCACACAACCTTATCTCCCCTGACTTTTTTATTATTGGCACTACCGGTGTAGCCCAATCTGAGAAAGACGTTTGGCGTAATACTCCTTCACTTTCTAATCTAGCAATCTCAATTTCAACCCTTTGTTTTATAGCGAATGGCACCGGACGAGCTTTAAGGAACTTTGGAGTTGCTCCTTGTTTCACATGTATAGTCACAGGCTGTCCACGGTAGGTACCGAGTCCATTTTTGAAAACTTCCTTATGTTTAGATAGGATTGCATCTATTGCTTTGATATCTGTATTTGATACAAAATTAATATTCATTGTAAAGTTAAAAGCAGCAAGCCAGTCTCGACCAAGCAGGTTTGGTCCATTCCCCTTGGCCACAATAACACACAAATTTTGTGAGACATCCTTATAACATACAGGCAGTGTTACTTGACCGAGTATTTGGACCGGTGTGTCTGTCCATGTTCGTAATGACAATGTGCTAGGTCGCAGTACGGCTTGTGGCATCTGTGTGCAAAGTTTGTGCCAAGTTTGCTCCTTTATTATAGAATAGCTTGCTCCTGTATCCAGTTGCATACAGACTGGCACTCCAGCCAGTGAAACTATCACTTCATAAGGCGGCGTGCGACTCACACTTGACATACAGTAAATTCCATTCAAACAATCATCTGATTCTTCAGCGAAATTAACAGTATTAGTTTTGTTTTTCTTTTTACTAATGCAAATCTTCTCAAGGTGACCCTTCTTCTTACAGTAGCTACAAATGGCATTTAAAAATCTGCATTGTCCATTGTGCCGGTTACCACATCGGTAGCAAAAACGAATGGAAGCTCTTGACTGGACAGCGTTAATATCCATCGGTTCTGAACCCAAAAATGACGTTCCGCCGGACCCGCGAGAGGAACCGGGCATGGTTGTGTCGTCCGCCGCGGTCGCGCCAGAAGACACTTGAATCATGCGTACATCTCGCCCCGCACTTTCCGATGATAACATAGCATCCACTACGTCTTGATAGCGTAATTTGTCCCGTTTCAATAGTTCGTACTGTAACCGGTCATCACGCATACCACACACGAGTCTGTCGCGTAGCATACGTTCCAAATCGACAAAATTGCAACCCGAACTAAGTTTTCTCAGGTGAGCAATGTAATCTGCCACTGATTCATTATGTTTTTGATCACGTTTATAAAATTGGAACGAAACCGATATTTCGTTCGGTCTCGGGCTGTAATGTTTATTTAGAATAGTTTCTATTTCCAAAAATGTCACTTCACTCGCTTTTCTAGGTGTAATTAATGCTAGTAACGTTTCAAACACTCGTGATCCACACACAGTAAAGAAATTTGCTCGTTTAGACGAATCGGTTATGACGCCATTTGCCTCGAAACAAAATTTTAGCCGGTCAAAATATATGTCCCAATTATCCGTTTGAGGATTAAACTCATCGAATTTCACAGCTTTTGTGTCCATTTTAGTACTTTTACACTACGTCGCCACTAATATGTCCTCAAGATATAGTATTTTAAATAAAACGTGCTATGTAGCTTGTATCACTTTTTGTAATTGAGATATTGTACCTACCTACATTAATACACTTTATTAATCAACAAAGTATAAAAGTAAGTACCCACATCTATATATGACAGTTATATTTTATTAAAATCTGTTACTTTAAAAGATACATTTTAAGGCATTGAAATAATTATATTTTGAACTCATAAATACATGTTGCAATTCACAGGTTTATTTATAGGGAAACTGTAAATATCTACATATAATGAAATAAATAAACATCCTGTATTTCGTACGTAAATTGACCAACGAAAACGAACGTTTTAGTACAACCGTTTTTTTAAAGTGAAACTAACTAAATGGTCTACTCAGCTGCCGCTCATCATAAATCTACTGTCGCTCATTCAGTAGCCCAAATTGGCATAGCATTGTGGCATTATTTGGCCATTATTTCTTTATATGGCTTTTAAAATATCTTGAAAGATTTTAAGTAGGTAGGTACATAGATTTATATAAATATATTTTTATATATATATTTATTTTATTATATATTATATATATATATATATATATATATATATATATATATATATATATATATATATATATATATATATACATACTGCTCTGTAAAAATGTAATTGCTCATTATTCATAAGACTTTTTGTTTCTTGTGCCATTCTTTTATTTATATGGCTTTTAAAATAATATCTTGAAAGTTGTTAAATATATGTATTCATGTAAATATATTTTTATATAAACATACACAGTGTTTTGTAAAAATGTAATTGCTTATTGTATTATTATTATAACATTTTGATGGTTTATAATAGGTATGATGAAATAAATTAATTTTCATAATAGTAAAAGTAACAGAAACATCAACTTAATATGTAGTTGCATTGTTTTTATTTATTAAAAAATATGCAACGAACAATGGCGGAAGGCGGTTTGATACAATTGATAATTATTTTTTCTAGAATAAAAATAACTTTTAGTCTTTATATTTTCTTAAATATAATTTTCATATGAGAAAAAGTAACAGAAATCTCAACTTTGAATGTAGTTGTATTATTTTTTTTATTAAAAATATTCAACAAAAAATGGCGGGTGTATATGTGGTAGATACGAGAGTAGGTGGATTGCAAAAAGTATGGTCGTAAGCGCACGTTGGCACGAGACGCAGCTGGCTGGCTTCCTCTTCCGAATCGTTTAAAAAAAACAAAACCAAGTATAAGATATCAAAGCTGTCACCAATAATATTCGAAATCTATATTTTGCATGTTTTAACGTATGGGTAAGTAAATGTGTAACCAAAGTTTGTAACTTAATATTTTCGTTTCAAACTAGATTTTAATATTATACAAAGACAGAGTGTGTCGATTTTGTCATAAAGAAAGTAAACTGTATTTATTCACTTTTTGAATGTAAGTAAGTACTGGAATGGAAGTCCCATGTAACTCTGGAATGTAAATATTTCCAGAATATGTGTATTGCACATAATATGTATACTATATTCATATACTTGTATGCATATATATACTCGCTGTGCCCGCAGTTTCAACCCCGTGAAATTTATAACCTATGTGTTATTCTGATTTAGGTAAAACGTTTGAGATGTGTGGAGAGCGGTGACTGATTTTGAAATACACAATTGTATATCACGACGTTTCCTTAAAATCCATTGAGTAATTTTTGCGTGAAAGAGTAACAAACATCCAGACATCTATCCACACGCATAAACTTCCGCGTTTATAATATTAGTAAGATCATATACTAGAACTCACAAAATTATAAACACCCAGGCGAAGTTGGTGCTTACTTTTGTTTTTATTAATATATACTTTTGTAAAAGGACAATTAAAAAAAGGAAACATTGCTTTGGCTATGTATTCTTTCAGTTGTGAACACTTTTTGTTTCTTTTAGCTTTTTATTTCACTAAAATTGTTGCGAATACAGTAGCACTTTTTGTGTTCTTGGAAGGACCTTGACAAAACAATACAGAAAGTGAACGTCAATGGAGATTCAATTCTGGACTTTTTGCAATTCCTTATGTTTTATTCTTCTAGCATTTATAAGGAAATAGAAAGCATTGCGAATTGTCGTTACAAAAACGTCAAAATATGGCACGTGAAATAGGTACATATGTATATATATTAAAACTAATGTATTATTTGATACATATGTATCAAATAATCCATTAGTTTTGATTATGTACCTACGAATCAGATTATTCTTCTAAATTAAATATACCTATCGATTCGTGCTGTTATTATAAATGTGAAAGTCACTATGTATTTTTATTTTACTCCTAACCACTGAATAATTTTGATAATACTGTCTATAGAGATAGTTTGAATCTGGGCGAATAATATAGGCCCGTAATTCTTGTGAAAATAAGACTAGAAAGGGAAAAGGATGACAGTTTGTATGGGGACACAATAATTTCTCAAGTAAGACACATAAAACTGATCATAATTAGATGAATAAGTAGACACTAATTAATTCTACACAGGAAAAGACATGGGTTTAAACTAGTGAATTATAATAAATTTGCACAAAAGACTATTGAATTAAAAAGTCAAATCACGGTCCATTGTAGGGAGGTGAATCATCAGGTTCATAAAAAACGTAACAGGTATTTTTTGGCAGTTACTAGCGATAAAACGATCCGCGCGATCATGGGGTGTTTTTTACGCACCGTACAGTATTTTTGGGGTTGGTTTTTGTCGAGATAGCGATCTCTCTCACGTTTTTTAAAAGGTTTTTATACGTGTATCGTTTAATTCCACTTGATTAGGGTATGTTTACGCGTGTAAATTTTTTATCCGCCCTTTTTAATCGCCATTTCTTGTGTATACAACGCAACATTATGTGGATAATGACATTTTTTATCATATAATATTTTTAGAGGTGTCAAGTACTGTATACGTAATTTTTTAAGTATTTTTATTACATTTGAGATATTTATTATACTTTTATACAATTGTATCTATTGAAAAGAGTAATTTATAATTTATGGTATTACAATTTGAAGTATTATAATTGGAACTATTACTAGGGGTCATCTGCCCTAAGACGTTGGATACTTTTGTTCGAACCCCAATGGGGTCAAAATGGTCAGAGGGTCAACGATTTATTGCTTTTAGAGAAAAATTACACCCGTGTTATTGTTGTGAAATTGTCAATGTAAGTAAGTTAATGTCCAATGTTATAATTTCGATTTTGTATAAAAAAAGCACATAATTGAATTGAGACCATTTTTATGAGTAGTTTAATAAAATAAAATTTTAGGCATGTTCTTATTCCTAAACTGTACTAAACATACATTATCGATTTTTGCAGCTATTAAATTAAACACAAAAAAAATGCACTAATATACAAAATTAAAAATACAGGCATTGAAAATAGTACTATTTTAAACAGAATGGTTAATAGAAATTGTATATAATTCTTTTTTGGTAATTATTCTACTTTTTGCCATTTTATAATACATGGCATTACAACTATCGCTTAATGGTAGGTACTGGCAGTTTAAGGTATTTTCCAAATAGTTGAATAATTCTATGAAGGGTACTTCCTACCGTCTGAAAATATTGATAGGCGAGAATAGTCGTACAAAACACAATTCTCAAGACTTACGACCGTTAACCTCCGCTCCAGAGACGTGTGCGACCTTTCTGACCGTTATATAATTTATATCTCAACACAATCGAAACGTATTGACCCATAACCTAAACATTTTCCCATCCCTACGTTCCAATTTCAAATCCGCAGTTTTCAACATAAATCAATGTTCGAACAGAAGAAGTTCGATATTCGAAAATACGTCAAAATCCAAAGCAACGGTCGAACGGACAATGGCCGCCGAACATATTCGGTTACATTTTATTTTATTTTCAACAAAAATGTAACAATGTACAATTGTTATCAAGGAAAAAGGGTAGATTTTAGTAATCTTCTTAATGGTGTGTGTGAAAAGATTATAAATTAAGTTTCTGTAACAAATAAAAGTGACCCCTGGGCATTGTCGGGGTGTCAATATGTGTGACCGAGCTATTGTCCATGACCCCTGTAGGCTTAGCGCCAATTTGCGACCGCTCCGATTCAGTCGTGACGTGATCGCAATGGTACTGTAAGGATTTCTACAATTTACAATTCGATATCATTACAATAGTGGAATGTTAGAAAAACTATATTTTTTCATGTAACAGATGTTACATTCGTATATTAACAGTTTTATTAAAGTACGGAATCCATCAACGTTATGTAGATACTTAAAAAAAATATAAATCATATATAGAAGATACTAATAACATAGGTATAAAGGTAGTTTATGAGTTTTTAAAAATCTATTTTTTTACGTAGATTTTCTTATTCATGACTATTTGTTTGTCATTTCATTGTCAATGTTACTTTATAACCTAGAAGTAGATAATTTAGGCAGATACCAAGGTAGAGTTTGTAGAGTCGTCACCGTGGGTACCTCAGTCTCACCTATATCAGCCACCAAGCAGCTTAATTTGCAAGATGTACTTTGGAGGTAGGGTGAGAAAAGTCAGTGACATTACGGGATAATAGACTTAACATACATTTCAACTTAAAAATGGAAAGTTATAACTAAATTATTTAAAAGAGCGACACGCAAGTTTTTCCCTCGTTCTTCTTGTGGTGATACCACTTTGCCGAATCGGCGGTAGATTAAAAAAAAAGTAATGACTATCCAAAAGTGCTTCAATGTAAGTTTATTTGAATAAGGAATTTTCCATTCTATTCTAGTATTTTGGTCCTAGTGGTATTAAATAATAACATGATGTTTGTGGTGCTGTTCATGTATACCAGCGACGGTCACCACTTACCATTAAGTGGGTTATATGCTGGTTTAACATTCCAAATACATTAAAAAGTTATATAAAGATATATTATATTTGATAGTAAAATGTAGTTTCGAAATGTA